ACTTTTCGATCATAAGACTCTGTTTCTCTTCAGAATATTCCTAGTAATAATACCCAATTGTTTATTTAACAATTTTTTCTTACTAACTATATTTTATAGATCCGCCAAAAATATCAGCAAATGCAATGGGGGACCTATAAAAAATCTTTAGTATTAAAAAATGGTTAAGTAAACAATTCGGCATTGCTATTGAAAGTCTTCTTAAGAGAACCAGAGTTTTCCGATCGAAAAGTATAGATTTTTAAGACTTCTGTACCATTTCTACGAAAGTTTTTTTTCCTACATATATAAAACCTATGGCAAATATGAATATTTTTGATTTCAAAATAAAAAATAGGGGTATATTTTTTCTGACTTTCCTTCTTTTTTTTTTGGATCACCCTGGTGTATACATATATATATATATGTGACGAAAATACTAATTTATTTCACGACCAACTGTCGCTTTTGTGTACCCAACCGGAGCACTCAAACCAACATTTAACCCGCCTATAATACCTACAGGGACTGGATTATATATATATATACTTACTTTCATACATAATAACCATTTCCCTACAAATACACAACCATAGCTTTTGGATGGCAAATCCCTACGCCTGGTGAGTGGGTGGACATAATTTAAGGTCATGACTTAATAAGAATTACATGGACGTAGTCTGATATTATATATAGGTTAGTTCTATCTACATATGTATGTATGTAATTGCAGTCTACACTTAGGCACACACGCATTTGGTTATGCATCAGCAGCACTTTGGTAGGATTACCGACAAATATGTACGTAGCTACGGCTTGCGCTCGGTCGGCTATAGCTGTCGTTAATAAATTATAACAGAATGTAATTGAATTAAACTCTAGCAATTAGAATTAGGATAAAGAGCGCAACAGGTGGATAACGTAAACAAATTTCTTGTATAAGTAAACACATACTAATGAGCTGTTCTTTTTAAAATGGACGGATTTCGTAAAAATAATAGTTTGTGAAAAGTTACTTTATTTTGAAACATCGCTTTTATAGAGACCAGAGAAGAAGGAAATATACATACGTCTTCTCTGATCATCGGGCCACCCAGAAAAACACACGCTTCACTAATGCATCTATATGGTCCAGCATTAAAGCATTCGCCTTGAGTGGGCTTGAGTGTAAGCTTGTTATGGAGCAACCCCTGACTTCTATCGAGCTTGGTATTGAAGCTAAAGACAAATTCAGTAACACCTACTACTATAATTGAATGCTTGAAATGTTCACTAGAATTCTTGGGTATCCATACAACATCGGCCTCCTTTGCCTTTTTGAATACTATTACTCTTATTTTTTATTTTATTAAAAAAAAAATAAATGTTCATCGTTTCCGCCAACCTCATACCACTGTGAGCCGTGGTACGTCCGAGAGGAAAATATGCATAGAGATCTGAATAGACGAATGGTTAAATCTGAACTGGAAAATACTGCTGAAGAATATAAAAGCATATTGAGAAATCACCAAACCCCACCAGGAAATACTAGCGGCGGACGTAGGATTTTATCTGGGGGGCTTTGGATTTTCCATTTATCACCCATGATGCAATAATTTTTAGAAGGTAGTTTCACTTCTTCTTCTTCTCCGCCATGTTAGCTATCTGACAGAAAACGTGTTTCGTATTTTTTGTTGTACCAACTTTTTCAAAAAAAAATCCAGCTTTTGACGATGGAAAAATAAAACAAAGAAAAGCCAAACATATAAGTACAGCAATTTTCGAATATTTTGTAATAATTTTCTTCATAAAAAATTAGCTGCTGCTTTCGTGGATATTGCAACACACGGAATAGATGTAAGGACACAGCTATAAGAGCCACCGCACACCACAGACTTTATCGGCCGCCTATTTAAATGATAGGGCTCGCTTGAAATATGTACATGAAGATGTATGGAGGTGCGCACATTACACCAGCTGAATCGCTCTGACCAATAAGTTGTGGTGCAATGGAAAGACTAGCGAGCACATCTCAATTGCCGGCCGATAAAGTCCGTGGTGTGCGATGGATCTAATCCATTATAAACAAGAAATATTGCTGTTATATTTTCATTTTTATGATTTTTATTCATGTGATTAGCAGTGGCAAAAATGTATGTATAAAATACGTATATTTATATTAAAAATTAAGTGATCAGTTATGAAACATATAAAGCTTTACATGTTCTGTTAAAAAATATCTAAAATAACAAGCGATAATCCCCAAGTTCAATATCGTAGCATGTGCGTGTTTGTCACAGACACGGTTTATGTCAAAAATTTTGAAGTGAAACTAACTTCTAAAAATTATTGTATCATGTTATCACCTATTTGATTTTAAGATCGTTATCAAGAACTATCAATAAGTATTTTGTGGAAGTAGGTATAGATCGTTCGTACCTTTGTGATCAAGGATATGATGGAGCTCCAGCGATTAGTGGTAAATTCCACAGAGCCCAACGTACAACCAATTGGATTTTTTCTCTTACCATTTATGAGCATTGTGCTCCACATAGTCTTAATTCAGCCGTAAAAGGGGCATGTGAAGTAACTAGCATTTGTAATGCATTCGGAGACTATTGCAGTGGTACGTGAAAATTGAAGAAAAAAATTAAAAAAGATTGATTCAATGTAACTCTCGAAGAGATAGCAGTTCGGAAAAACGACAAAATAGCAACCTGTACCTGGCGGCTATCTCTATTTTGAAATTTTAACTGTCATAGCAGTGCAATCACATTTCCCGCCCATTAAGTGCCGCCGATGAGGAATGTCACGAAGCCTATAGGGCCGCGCTGCGATCGTGAGCAACGCGAGTGGGACCGCTATAGAGTACTGAAAAGTAAAGCGAGACGTATTTGCCGCAATAAGAAGAGAAATGCCAAAATGCGTGAGGGCGAAGAGCTTGAAATGCTGGCTGACAGAAAAACCGCCTGAAAATTTTGTCAGAGAGTTAGGCGACTTACGGCAGGTTTCAAGACCAGGGCATAAATGGCGACCTAGTTACCGATGTCCAGAACGTACTTGAATTTTGGAGGGAACACTTTTCCACCCTACTGAATGCTAGCAGCACGGAAAGTTGTGGAGAAGACAAACCCGAGTCCACAGTCGACGATGGCGGAGTCGATGTTCCACCGCCTGTCTATGACGAGGTTCAAATAGAAATTGCACGGCAAGTTTGAAAAAGTATACGACTTCGTTTATTTTGGAACCAGCAATAACACCAATAATATTTTTAGCCTTGAAAAACGGACAGTCACTCTTGCCAACAAGTGCTACTTTTGACTGAGTAGGCATTTGCGGAAGATTTACAGGACTACGCATTGGCGAAGGCGAGTATGGCAGGCGTTGGAACGATGAGCTGTATGAGCTTAACAACGACATGGCCATAAGTAGTGCAGCGAATTAAAATATAGTGGTTCCGACGCTCCAGCTCTGAAAGTATTCAACACGGAACCCTCTGGTTATAGCAGAGAAAGAAGGAGGTCCCCACTGCTATGGAAAGATCAAGCGGAGGTTGGCTTCACTTGGCATTTCAAATTGGCGTCAATTGGCACAGAAACTGGCGTGCTTTGTTGAACTCGGGCAAAATCGTATCGATAGGAATCGAAGTAAATTCAGTCAGAAAAAATTTAGTTATCGAAAGCTATCAAATTACTGAAATTTATCGAATCATCGAAGTTTATAGTTATCGAAAATTATCAAGTTATGCATTTTATCGAGTTATCGCAACGTATTATTTAAATTGATCAATGTTTATTGAGTTGTCGAAATTGATAAACACAGAAAATTAGTTGTCGAAATTTACGGATAGTTATCGAGCTATAAAAATTATTTATTTATAATTGATATTTATTGATTAACTAAATTATTGGATCTATCGAATCGAAGTTTTTGGAATTTTCAAAATAAATCGTGCTATAGAAATTTCAAGGTTTTTTAAGGTTTATCGAGTTATCACTGCTTATCGAATTTTATCGTATCACCAGAGTGTAACGTGTTATCAAAGTTTGTCGATAGCATTCGAAAAATACGTAGCTATTAGAATTAACCGAATTATCGAAATTTATAGAGGAATTCAGTGTTTATCGAGTTATCGATTTTTCATTTATCGAAATTTATCGAGCTCTCGAAACGAACAGTTATCGAAATTTATCGCAATTAGTTGAGTTATCGATATGTATAAGCTAATCCACATTTATAGACAAACGGGAATGTATGGGGCAAACTTCAAGTCCGGTCAGAGGCCTTCAAAAATGTTAAAAATTTTAGTAGTCCCATCTTAGTTCCAAAGCAGGAAATTTTCCGGTAAATAATTTTAAACGACGTGCTAAGTTAGAAAATCTCTCCAAGTGCCTTAAAACTAGAAAAATATTCGAATTTCGATAGTAACTTTGTGCTAAATCTTTGAACAGAGCTATATGTCTATATCTATATTGATTCCTCTAGACTGTTATGCGAACAAATGGCACTCGGATATAAAGAAGAAAACAAGACAAACATGTATTCCTACTGTTCACTTTTAAAAACTTTTTTTTACAACATTGCGAGTTTTAGTTTGCCTACGAATTTCCAATGCAAAATTCTGTTGCAAAACTTTAATTTACTCATTGTTAGCGAATAGAACAATTTGGTTCTAACTAATCGCTAATAAAGAAAACTGTGCAAACTGTTAGAATTCTCATACTGACATAGTCAAGTAAAATCGAAAAGGAGCAAATTAGACAAAGAAAGTTGCGAACAAAGAGAAAGTTAAAGACATTTAGAAAACAAGTTCAAATTATTTACTTATGAACGTCAGCAACAACCATTCAAACGGCGAAGGACACAGGACGCAGCGGCACTACACTCACATACATGAACACTTACATTATTCCAGAGTACAAAGAGTACTTACAATCTATACGATTTTAACTGCTCGTAGTCATACTTGTTCAACAAGCACAAAAAACGCCGAAGTGAAATTGTTTTAACGTTGGTTTTTTTTTCTTATTGAACTATTGCAGGGAAGGTCAACAATCACCGGAAGAATGGCATCGTCTTTATGGCAAGTGTTCCGGCAATGAGATCTATCACATTGTACTCGGCGACAGTCGCTTCTTCGGCGAATACGAGGGCAAAAGTTTCACTTACGCCAGCTTTCATTCGCATCGAAAGTGAGTAGACGACGTAGTCCAAATGGGAAGATGGTTTTTTTTTTTTTTTTTTAATTCAATTTGTCACTTTTTTGCTTTTGGTTTTCCATTTGAGTCGTAGTGTTGTAGTCTATTGCTAACTGACTGACTGATGGACGTGCAATTGAACTAAATTTAATTTGGCGCTGATTGAATTTTGCGCTAGTTCATATATCACTTTCAAATTCATTGATGGACATAGATTTTTCATCGTCTTTGATAGCGTTCTAAGCGATTTTGCTTGTTTTTGTTTTTCTTTTTCCTTTCTTGTTTTTTTTCGTTTCCACCAGATATGGCGTTGCATTGGTAGGCGTACGTCCAGCCGAGCTGCCTGAATTCTACGAGGACACAATTTTGCTGAATCCCGGGCCGCGGCATATCATGAAGAAGGATGACACATGCTATTACATGAGCATCACAAAGGAGGAGAATTCGGCATTTGTTGTCAATCAAAATCAGAATCAAAATTTGGATACACACGCGACGACGAAGGAGGGTGGTAAGTGTGTTGACTGGCTGCCTGCCTGCCTGACTGGTTTCATTTTTGTCAGCTGCTCGGGCGGCAAAGCCAATAAGCCTGATTTCCTCTTTGTACATCTAAAGTTATTTCTTATCTATTTATGAGTCTATATTATTTCATAAGTATCTACTATAGTATGATAATAAAGGGTATGTGTGAGCGTATGCGCTTTTGTATATGTATGTACACCTACTCTCTCTTGGCTGTATGTATGTGCGTTTGTGGATGTTCACGCAAAGTATTACGCATTTACATAATGCATTTTTTATTGCATTGAGTTAAAAGCTACTTTAGAATATTAACTTTTATATAATATATAAATATCGTCGCCTGGGTAAAAGATTGTCGTAAGCGTCGTACGTACGTGCGAAACATACGAGACCCAGGCGACGATATGTGTAAGCAAAAAATACAATTAAAAGCTATTAGGGGTGTCCTCTTTAGTTAGAACAAAATTAAACAAAGTTAATTTTATTAGCCAATGTTTTTTGCTCTGTAGTTTCATACAAAAAAAAAGTAGAGAGACACACACTTCCGTTTGGGCATCATCTAATGGCTCCGATACAATAATTAAACCTAGCATGGGCAACTGGATCTAAGTAGGCTAATTTCGAGTTAAAATAACCAAACCTCTCTAGTTTTTTTTTTAGACTAAAGTCTGCTTAAAAGGAGGTACATGATTTCCATTTACGTCTCTACAGGAAACAGCCCCGGTCTTTTAACCATTTGATTGCTGCCTTATTTTCTAATAGAATATTCGAGTCGCAATCCTGTCTGCCAGCATCTCAAGCTCTTTGCTTTCACGTCTCTCTGCCTGTCATTTCATTCGTTTGAATAGATGTCTCTCATCCCTCCCCTTTCTCCGGTATCGCTCAACTGTCGCTTCTTCAACGCGCTCGTAGAAGCGCTCCTTGGTTTCATTATCCGTTTTCTCGCTTGCGGCGAAGGGTGTGAACCTGGAGGCAAGGTCCTTATTTCTTAAGTGAGGCTCGTTTCCATTTGGGGCAGCTGTCAGAGGCGTTTGGTGCCCTTTCATTGAATCAAATTTTTAACTGGGCAGGTGCCAAGCCCAGCGATCAACCCATTAACTTTTAAAGTTTTGAGAAAAACTTATTTCACTTTGAGTTCTCCTACCATCAAGGATTAGAGAGCCTCTCAGTAATTATAGGATATCTCGAAAACTATTCATAGGACTTATGTGAAACTTACAGGTAATGTTTTTGAGGCTTACTACTTTCGGTAAATGCAAAAAAATACTACCGCTTAATTTCTTTCATCTATATTAACTTGTTCTGCGTGATGTATTATATTACTTGTAATAAATTACCTAGATATGTGTATGTAGATTGACAAAACACTTTAAACACCGTAGTTACTAAAGAGGACACCCCTTTTTCTGACCTAATAGATTGCTTTTTATATGTACATTAAGGTGTCGCAGTATATAAAGCGTGAATCTTTTATACAAAAAAGCGATACAAATACCCTTCAATTTTTCTTTTTTGACCTAAATAACGTTTATACATAGTTTCTTTTGGTTGTTGTGTGGGTAGGAGGAGTATGATGTATTGTAGAACGATTTTCCGTCATCTCTTGTCAAATTTGATTTGGAGACAAACCGGTTTCGGCGTTGTGCCATCTTCAGTGTCATTTTTCATTCTGAAATTAGGATATGTGACAACAACGATTATATGGGGAACGGCACCAGCTATAAATATGTAACCAACTTCAAAGAAATGTGAATGGTAGGGAGAACCTAAGATTATGGCTGCGTTTCTTTATACATTCCGGATAATCCCATTTCACAGCCGGAATAAACAGAATGCGTTTGAAATATACGTCACCATATCAACAGGAACGTTCTAAAGAATAAATAAACAAAAAAGCTTATTCCAAACGTTCAGAATGAATAAAGAAATGCAGCCTATGAAATAAATTATTGAATATCTAAGTGCACTCAAAAATGTTAACGGACAGAATAACCGAAATTAAGCACACAATAATAACAAAAACAAAACCTTATTCTTTGGTGCACCCGAGATGAGGTCCAACCAAAAGGTTACGAACCCACTCGCACTACCACCCGAGCTGCCGGGGATATCTTTAACCCGCCAAGTGACTGGGCTCTCGGTGCGGAATGCTAAAATGGCGGGAAAGGAAGACCTTAGTGTGAAATATACTGACAGCACTACAAGCCCAATATAGGAAACAACAACACAAATAATACTTAAGCTGTCGTCGGAGAGTGCGTCGTCCTCTAGGTGCGTGCTCCTGCCCAATCAATTGGCGCCGCTCCGTTATTCTAAAAAACGAATTGGGCGCTAGAGTAGTCGCCTCGACTGCGCCCACAAACAAGCACAAAGGACTTAACTATTTCCATCATATGGCGGACAAATAAAGTGCCGCGATAAGAGAAAATGGCGATCCCGTTGTGGTTTTTTTTACAATTTTTCAGACTCATTTTGGCGTAAACAACCCTAATGGCGACTTTTCCCCAATGCATTAGCACACCACCGACAATCAGCTGTTTTTTTCTACAAGCTGAGATTTTATTAACGCAATTAGTTGCCGGTAGAGCTCGCTCCTATCGGTTGGAGTGAAGGACACATTCGAAACAGGAACGGAATGGTAGCGTGCACTGCTAAGCACTACAAATAGTAGAAAAACAATGGTCAAAATGTCGTGTCCCTAGTTTTTACGCATGACTTTATGTATATGGGCCAATCCTAGAGTTGCGGAAGTTACGTTCGGACGTTACTGCAAAAAGTATAGATATCCGCGTTACATGTACACATAACGTTTAATTGCTGTAGGATTATGACAACCCATGAGGACTTAATTTTGTGCTCAGAACTTATACTGGGATAACCACGCGGTCACAGGTATTGAGGTCAAAACGAAAAAATGTGTAGGGTATGCGTATCGAATTTTTCAAATCTGGGACACCTTAATGTAACATATTCCTATACTATGTAAGTATTTACATGTGTATAAATATAAAGGCGGTCCAAAAAAGTAAAGTCGTAATTTTAATGCTAGAATCGAATTTCAAACAAATCTCAAAACAAATTCTGGGACACCCTAATAAATATATTTATATACACATAAGGGTGGTTCAAAAAAGTAAAGTCGGAATTTTAATGCTCAATACCCCTAGAATTGTTCTGTACTGAAAAATATGGCCGTTTTTTGTTTAATCAAAAAATATTTATAGGCGCTCAAAATTTTCCATGCATTTTACATGGGGAAAAAAACAATTTTTCGTGGAAATGGTATAGAATTATCAAAATCAAAATATTTTTCGATCAAAGAACTAAGTTTATTTTCAAGAAACCGCCAATAATATTACCCAAATGTTTATTTAACCTAAATCCAAAAACGCCCATAAATCTAATGGGGAACCCATAAAAAATTGTTAGTTTTAAAAAATGGTAAAACACACAATTGGGTATTATTATTGGAAGTCCTTTGAAGAGAAACAGGGCGTTCTGATCGAAAACGTATTTTTCCCCCAAATAAGATACACGAAAAATTTTAGGCGCTTTGGGCGCCCTCTAAATATTTTTTGATTTCGAAAAAAAAACAGGGGTAAACGTTTTTGGATATAGAACAATCGTAGTGGGTGAGAGCATTAAGATTCGGACTTTACCTTTTCACATGCATTTTTCGACCACCGTAATATACATAGATACCTATATTTTTATGTACTATACGGTAAAACTCAGTAGAATAGGTTCAGAGCGACTTTAAAGTTTAACTGTTTGGTAGATCTACTATATTGTCCACAACACCAAGAAAAAGGTGAGAAATGTGCTAAAATTTAAATATTAATGGTATTCACCAAATTGACCAAGTGGCCTGGCACTCAGGTAAAGGAGCAGATTAGCTCAAGCAACAGTCGTTTCAACAATCGTTGCTTGACCTAATCTGCTCTTTCGTCAGAGTGCCAGGCACTTTGCTCAATTTGGAGAATACCGCTATTATAAGCTTGTTAGTAGGAGATGAAAGACAAAGAACTGCTGTTAAGATGGCAATCATAAACTCAGTTGCAATTTCGATGGTACAAGTGCAAACAAATACCCGGATGTTTTTCTCGTACTTAGAGAACACAAAAGTTAAAATTAGTTAATTTTCTGGCATTCAAATCAAAGTAGATATAGCAAACAGTTAAATTTGCAAATCATGCCTAAACTATGCTGCTGACTGTCAGTGTAGTGAATTATTGAGCCCAAAGCAAAGAAAAATAAGAATTTCAGGTGATACCCATCAACTAAATAAGTGTATTGACTGGTGCAGCAAAACATACATATTCCGCTTTCAATGTGTGTATCAGTGTATGCGTTAATTTTTGATTAATTTGAACATTTAATTTTAATGTCAGTTAGTCGTTACTGTCACGTTTTTTTTTGTCCTCAACTCAATTGTTTGTCCGTTTTGGCTACTCCGTTATTTACTTGTCGATTAATTTTTAATTGATTTAAAAACGTCACACTGCTACTTTGTCGCTCCAACTCTATAAAATTACTCACTCTCTATCGCTCGCTCTTACCATGTTACTGTTTTTTCTCTACCTGCATACATACATACATACTTACCCTACGAGTACAGAAACATAATGGCCTGTTTCTCTTTGCGCATTTCCTGTTCGTCCCTTGCTTGTTTTTTATCTTTTTTTTTTTTTTTTTTTTTGATATTTACAGCATAAGTAAATTATGAAATGTGCAAATGGCTTAAATTAAATGTCCATTTTTTATTATTTTTTTTTTTATTTTCCAGCGTGCCGTCAAAAATTAAAAGCTATTACTTGCGAAACTTAAAACGAATTGCAACATAAATTTGATTTTTCCATAAATTCATCAAACGTCCATTAAAATATTTGTGTCCGCCATTAAGCTGTTCATACTAATATATATGAATATGTATGCGTGTATAAAGTAGATATGTAACTGTGTACTAGACGGCAGTGCTGGCAGCGGAAG